AACATCAGGGGCAGCTGTCCTACCCTGCATTGTTTGCTAAAACATACTATCAATTACATATTTCAATCACATTAAAGTCCGATTGTTTTAAATAAAACTAGATTATGACCTGTGCGTTACACACGAACTTCTTTTTACTGCTTTTTTTCTTTCTTTAATACATTTTCTTTTTTTTAATGATTTTCATGTGGTTAAAAGAGAGTTTCTTTTTACTTATGTAATAGATAAATAATAACATCAGTGTCTTCATTGCTTACTGCATCATAACCTATATAAACAATAGTATCAGTGTCTTCATAGCTTACTGCATCATAACCTATCTTATTTTCGAGTAAGTACAGGAATCCATCCATCCATCCGAAACCTTCCTGGAAGTTATCCATCCAAACATCTCTGGACTTTGGTTTTCGAGATAGTCGTGTCCTGTTAGTTTTATTATTTTTAGTTTTATTTTCGGTTGGGAAAAGGGTGGGGTTGGCGAAATGAATAAGTTGATTGAAATAAAACTGCCCTGTTAAAATCCAATGAAAGACGAAGAGTGTAAAAGACTGTGACACTCCTTAACTAATGCTTCAAAGTTCACCGTTAAAGCATGTATAGTTGGTGGCTATCATGTTGAGTGTGAATAAATTCATTAATGCCTGCTTTATTTCTGTTGTGAACCCTACTTTCTGAATCGTCAAAATTCATGAAATATAAAATTTTATTGACAAAAAATTATAAACACGTAGTAATTCATGAGAAAAACATTATCAGGAACAATCTAATTAGAAAGCAAAGTAATTCTCCTTTGGGTGTTCCTCTGCTACCATTGCTATCTTTCTAAGATCTTTCTTTAGTATGAGTCTTCACATTCTAAGAACTAAACACATTAAGGAGTCGATCACTTGTTGTATCTTTAAGCTGTTTTCTTGACCAGCTTTTGTCAGATTTCGAATTCTATGTACCAATCAAGTTTTTTTTTTTAAAAAAAGTGAATTTTATTAACCATATAACCGGTATGTCATTATTAGTTCTAGTTAAAGCTGTCAGAAACTCTCATTGACATCGAATCGATTTTGCAAGAAGAAGCTTTCCATAAGGCTCAACAGCTCATGAAAAAGCAGAAATCCCACGAAACGATCAGTGTCCAATGCCCAAGCAAGTTACTGAGGTGGGTGCAGGAAGAAACACACTGCACATTGGATCCCATCTCCATACAGAAAAACAACTCGCTGCACATAGCCATGCCACAGCCAAATGCAGCCCACAGCATTACACAATTTGGCTTGACCCCTCGTTTCGTTTATCTATCCATCTATATATATATATTAATTAATTAAAATATTGTTTTCTTAAGTGAGTTTATTAACATAACATAGCTTGCATGCCATAACAATAGCAAATCAAGCTATAGAGGAAAAAGTACAGCTTCAAAAGAATTTAATGTAACTCAAACTTAACAGTGCGTTCCTATATAAAAAGGACTAATCTTCTCAAATTTAAAAAACTACTGAGATTACACTATAACCACTATCCAAACTTCCTAAATTACAAAAGCTAAACAAGTAACACATCAAAATCTAAAGAATATTCACCTCTTGAACCACAACTAAGGCCTCCAAACACCACTAAATCAACCACCCTAATTCCACCCTTCCGTCTGCAAGATGCTGATGAAGACTTCTCCATGCTCAACTTCCTTTCCTAATCATAAAAGGCACGAAGAAAAAGCTCTTCCTTTCGCACTTCAGAGAACCCTCCCAAAGCCCGGTGTCTATTCAACCAGAATTTCCAATGATCACACATGAAACCCTGCTGCCCACAAACTAGTGACAGCATAGTCCTGCTCTAATCTGTCTTTACTGATAAGCATGTCCTGGCTGGCTCATTTCCTCCATCTGCTGCTTCACACTCCACAATTTTTTGGATAATCTCATCTTTGTCTTCCACGAAATACAAACCCAATTTCTTACTACGTTCCCAAATTTCCTCTACTTCCCTTACAAGAACCGAATTTCTCCTTCTTAATCTTTTATTTTATATATATATATATATATATATATATGTATTCAGTTAAATTTAAATTTAATTTAATTTGAAAATAAATTCAAAACTAACTATAGTATTAAAATAAAAAGTAAATTTCATTCATTTTTCTTGAAATTTGACCCACAAACTATTTACATAACCTCAAATATCAATTTAACCCATATGATTTCAATTTATATCAATTTGGCTTTCCTATGTATGTCAAACACTCAAAACTCTAAAATTTTAGAGTAATTGCACATTTCATTATTAAATCTTGATTAAATTCAAATGTTTTAAGTATTATTTTTGATATTGAAAATTGTAAATATAAGAATTAATAATTAAATTGATCCACACAAGTTAGATAATTCAAGTTAATCAAAGATTGATCAATGGTCTTTTTACTTAGACCTTTTTTAATTTTTAAGATAATTTATGCAAATATCAACTACCTCTACATCTCCAAAATTTATACTCAAAATAAGATTGTCTTGTAATAATAAAAAAAAAAACTGTGAAAGCATATAAATAATAAAAACATATTATTAATGATCATATAGTAATTCATAAATTGGGTGAAGAAAAAGAGTAATATAAGGCCGTGCAAGGTGGTTTATGGGGTGCAAACCCTCTCGCAGTCTCCTTTTGAAGCATGGCATCCGGTGTTGTCCGTTACGCACTGCCATTTACGTTTAAAAATATTACCACATACAGGAGCGCAAGGTCCTAATATTATTTTGTCTACTCCCATCTCTTCTTCCGCTGCCCTGCCCAAATTGAAAACTCTCGCATCCATGTCTCTGCTACCTGTTACACATATACTCACATATACACACACACACACACACACACACATATATATATATATAAGGAGTAAACAAGTAAATTTGTTTAAAAACCTTAAATAGGTGTGTCATTGATATGGAACATAACTGTTTTTTTATTCGAAAAAAAATTGAATTCAAGTCATTAATTAAGAGATCTTACATTTATTATTAAATAAAATATTTAGATAAATGAATATATAATATAAATAGTAAACAAAAAATTGAAAAAAAAAAAACAATCAAACTTTTGATGCATGGCTTACGAGCATTCATGGAGAGTGAGGGGAGAGGTCAACGTAAGGACAAGTATAGCCAACCGAGCGGCCATGGTATCCTAAGCTAGATATAACGATGGATCATAATACAAAGGTAGATTTTGTGTTTATATATATTTCATGCTCATGGCATAACAATAGATCATAAAAATGCTGCTCAACCATTTGTGTGTGCTTTTTTTCTAAAATCATGATTTACCATATGTGTGTAACAATATTTTAATTTTACACTTACTTAAAAGAAAGAATATTTTTCGTTAAGAAAGTATACTTGGATTTATCGAACAGATTGATAATATATGATTTTCTTCGAATTTATTTTCCTTTCAAATATTGTAAATGAGATCTTTTTGCCCCTTTTACCTTCTCACCTAATTTGATCATATTTGAAAAATCTAAATTAAAAGGGAGCATTCACCAGTAATTTTCTTTTACTACAATCTTGCAATTATCTATTTAGAATAAAAAATTTAGTAAAAATGTACTCTTTATAAATATAAATTTCATATAATATTTTGATAAGCTTTGTACAATTTAAGAATATAATAATTAATTATAAAGTATATGCTCCCACTAAAAAGAGTAAACTTCCATGAAATGAAGTCATATAGAATCATTAAGATATTAGCATTATAAAGAAAACGCTTGGACTTTGGAATAAAATAGAAGAGAAAAATGAATAAACAAAGAGAACCCAAAAAGAGAGCATGTCCAATATGTGTCATGCTTGGGTTAATGTGGCAGCTGATCTTAGAGATGATGGATCACCACATCCGAACATGAAACATCCTACCGGACCTCTAATATTTTATTAAAATTGAAACGATATCGGGCGCTAAGTTTTTGTGAAAGTTTGGTGCACAACCACACCTTTGGGCCAACACATTCTGGGGGCATGGCAGCAGCGGCTAGAATTCCTACAACAACAACGGTTAGCAGCTTTTCCTATAAGCTGATATTTCATTAATTCTTGAAATTGCATCAAGATTTCATCAGTCATGGCCCCATCCAATAAATCACCGGAAGCCCATAACCATCCCCCTCTCCACATTTACAAAATAATCCCAGTTTCCTGTATACTTAATATGCCCTTTTTCCCTATGGATCAAAAGTTCCAGAACCTCAACCTCAAAATATTAGTGCAGCTACACAGTTAGTTAACTCCAAAAAAAGACCTGAGTCCAACAACACATTGTTTATACCACATAACCACAAAAGAAGTCAGAACCATTCAGTGTGGAAGCATGTAAATAATAAAAACAATAACTTCATAAGGATATAGTTATTTTATAAATTGTCTGAGATCATAAAATTATTGGAAGAACAAAGAGAGTGATGAGGCCATGCAAGGCGGCTCCTGGAGATGCT